CTGTATGTCTATCTATCTATCTAATATCTCATCTCTCTCTCTCTCTCTCTCTCTCTCTCTCTCTCTCTCTCTCTCTCTCTCTCTCTCTCTCTCTCTCTCTCTCTCTCTCTCTCTCTCTCTCTCTCTCTCTCTCTCTCTCCTCTCTCTCTCTCTCTTCTCTCTATCTCTCTTTCTCTCTACTCTCCCCCTGTCTGTGCGTGTGTGTGTGTGTGTGTGTGCCTGTGTGTGTATGTTGTGCTGTGTGTGTTGTGTGTTGTGCTGTGTTATTTTGTGTGTGTGTGTGGTTTGTATTGTGTTATTTTATGGTGTGTGCTTGTGTGTGTGTGAGTGTGTGTGTATTATGTGTTTGTGTGTGCGGTGTGTTTTCTGTGTTGTCTTGTTTTGTGTGTGTTGTGTGTTGCGGCGTGTCCAAGGCCTCCCAGCGGAGAGAGGCGCGTTAGCAAAGAAAACAGCACCGCGCTTCGTTATCGAGTCGCTGCCTCATAATGCATAAGCCCCTTGTCTTCCGCGCAGCTTAAAGGCTTCATAGGAATAATCTGAGACGAGCTGATGGTACTAATAGGAAGCAATGATCCTGATGCTTTTTGTTTGTGCTTGAGTTTGTGGTTTTGTGCAATCGTTAGTTTATTCTTGTTTGTTTCGCTTTGCTTATGGTAGCATGTAGATTTGAAAAACAGGTAAGTGTGATATTGAATGTTTTGCTGAGGAAACTTTCTTTAGACTTTTAAAAGATAATGAACGTGCATCCGTAAACGTAAGCATGAAAACACACACACAAAAGCATACAAAGTTGCATATGCAAGCATGTATAAGGGAAACACAAATACATACACAGTCACACGCACAGCCACACACACACCAACACACACACAGTCACACACAGTCACACCACAGTCACACACAGTCACACAAACACACACACAACACAACAACACACACACACACACACCACCACACACAGTCACACACACAGTCACACACACATCACACACACACCATACACACACACACAAACAAACAAACAAAACCACTCACCCACCAACCCCTACCCTTCCAAAACACACCCTGATAAGCGCGTGCAAACCTCTGTTATTCGCACCCCATTCGCGGTGGCGGCGAGCGGCAGGCATTACCCCAAGGTTCTTATGTCACAGTAATATCGCGCAAAGCCGAAGATGATGAGGTACGTTCCCTTTAGACGTCTCCCTTTAGGCTCTCTTTGTCAAACGGAGATTATTTCCTCCCTGGTGGACGAGGAGAAGGAAGGGAAGAGCCCGGAGGAGAGAGAATGTAGAAGTGGAATTGGCGAAGGCGGAGGGAGACGAAAACGAGGAATCGGCCTAAGGATAATGTAGGCCTATGTCAATTTACGGTGCTTAGAGACGAAGAAATTGATTCAGAACGAAGGAATAAGTTCTTTGAATGATATCCACAATGCTTGAAGACAACAGAGAAGAAGAATAACCAAAGATATAAGGAGATTAACAGAATATTCTCTTTAAATAGGCCTGAGTACAAGCAGCACCCGAGTGATGAACAGGACACGCTACATATAGAAAAACAGAAAAGAAAAATGTAAGGAAAAAAAAAAGAGAAAGAAGAAGAAACAAGGATTTTTTTTAAGAAGAAAGAAAAGAAATTAAGAAGAAAGAAAGGAAATCAAAGAAAAGAAGAGAAAAGAGAAAAAAACGAAACAAAAAAACATGACAAAACAAAACAAATTGGTTCATAACAAAACAAGACAACAAAATGAAAACAAAACAAAAAAAACTGAGCTAAACCCTTTACACACACGCACAGCCCCTCTCCACGGTTATCGCTCGGTACAAGTGGAACCCGAGAGAGTGAGAGAGAGAGAGAGGGGAGAGGGGGCAGAAAGATAGATAGGGAGAGAGAGGGGGGAGGGGAGAGAAGACAGAAAGAGAGAGAGAGAGAGAGATAGAGGACAAGCGTCGCAGATGGCAGGCGGACCCTCACTGATTGTGTTGCCGGAGATGAGGTCAAGTGAGTACTCCGCATCGCGCGTTTCGAGTACGGATTATTGACCCAGCATCAGTCGGGCTGACCTGTGCCCAAGGAGATCTTCAAAGGCCCTTGTTGTATGTGCGCTTTATCTCTACACGCAAGAGCGAAAGGGTGACAGAGGACAGTGGTTATTATTATTATGAGGAAAGTCTTACGAAAGATAGGATGCGTGTGCTGTCAGGATGCCTTTGTCGGGTCTGGTCGACGCTCTGTGGGAGATTATCAAGTCCAGTTTAGTAATGAGATTATACTTCGTTTTCCTGTACGCTCTCTCTCCCTCTCTCTCTCTCTCTCTCTCTCTCTCTCTCTCTCTCTCTCTCTCTCTCTCTCTCTCTCTCTCTCTCTCTATTTCTCTCGTCTCTCTCTCTCTCTCTCTCTCTCTCTCTCTCTCTCTCTCTCTCTCTCTCTCTCTCTCTCTCTCTCTTCTCTCTCTCTCTCTCTCTCTCTCTCTCTCTCTCTCTCTCTCTCTCTCTCT